TATCGGACGGTGTCTGTTGCTTCGAGTTCTGTTCAGTCTCTGTAGCTTGAAGTTGCCGACAGTTAAGGTCCAAGGAAGCCATGGAGAAAACCTGGGACAACATCTGCCTTAGGAACAAATTCTGGGCGGAGGTGGTGGTGGGGCGACGGCTGACGGCGGAAGGTAGTGGTAGGATTTAGAAATTATGGAGCTTAGGAATAAGACTTACGCCATGGCAATCGGGTCTCTTTCTTTGTAGGATTTTACCTTTGTGTGTGAAGTAGCGGCTTCATAAATAGAGATTGCCAAATGAACTATGTAAAAACCAAGAAAAGTTACTAATATTATAGAAAAGTACCAAAACTATGTCTCAATTTTTACTCCATATCAAAATGAATACCTCTATTTCTCGAAAATATAATTACATACCTCAACCCAGCTAAAATAACTTGATTACCCTTCCTTGTGTAAAGATCTCAAAACCTACCCTTCCTTGTGTAAAGATCTCAAAACCCTAGTCTCACATCACCGATTCTGTGACGCCTCATAATGTTATGTGAGACACGAGATCTTTCAATGAATTTTTTTTATTTTTCTTTTAGACACGCAGAAGCATAATAAAATAATCACATCATACGAGAAAGGAAATTGACAAGTTTTAAGTAATTTGCATATGCATATTTCCTTTAATATTACTCTGACAAGTATTAATACAAGCATAAAAAAAAGACGATTACAACGCATTAATCCAGGGAAAACGGTTGGGTCGACAGTAAATACTGCATCTCTACTCCCACACCAAAAACTTGCCTATACAAAAGTTAAACACTATCCTATGGATCAACAACCTCGACCATCGACATATTGTCGACAACAACGAAGCCAGGAGGACCGTTGAACCCTCTCAAAGATCCCACTGTCTAACCATTAACATTAGTGTACCCAGCGATGAGACGATGGGAAGAAACTCAGGTAGTCCTACATTAATCTAGACGGTGAAACTATACTTAACATACAATATCTCAAACCCCGGCACAAATATATCTTGGTATTTCCATTCTACACAAGTACTCCAAAACATAGAACGGGTGGTGGATCCATCCTACAAATTTGGGAAAATAAAGAATGAGCCAAAGCTCAGTGAATGAAATCTCTAAATTTAAGATAAGAGATCATCTTATCACTCAACCCGGTATCAATAAAATAACATAAATTCAATGTAAGTACAAAATGATTACGTATGGCAATTAAAGGGGTAAATGCACTATATTCTCTATCATGATATGCCAATGAAAACCACTAAACATTGATGCATAACAACATTTATTCCAACGCAAGCAAATGACTCGACTTAATGCATGTGATGCACAACTATCCCACAGTAGTTCATCGATGTGCACGTGTGAATATATATATATATATATTTATTTATTTATTTATTTATTTATTAGTTTATTTATATATGCACATCTATATACATATATCATACTTGTTACTGGCAAATCATCTCGACTAACAAGGCATCCTGAATACTCTCGGGGCATCCTAACTCACGGGGCATCCCTACACACAAGACATCTAAACTTCAAGGCATCCCGAATACTCTCGGGGCATTCAAACTCATGGAACATCTCGACATACGAGGCATCCTGGCACACAAAGCATGGTCACTACTAATATATGGGCAATGAAAAAATATAACATGATACTTTCCATGTATAATCATATAATAGCTATGCACATGATCACACTATAATCATATGATCTTCCTTGTATCAACAACGAAATCAATACCTATTTCTTAACTCTTTACATTCTCATTTTCAAGAATCGACATCCAGTACACAATATCTTCCTATGCAAATCGTTTTTGAAATAAAATTGTCATGCTATGTCAATAATCACATAAGCTAGTAATAATAATCACACGCTTATCGCATTTCATTTCTCACGTAACCGATAAGAATTTAATCAAAGGTCAATAAACTCATTTGAACATCAACAAGTTATAAAATCGATAACTCAAAGAATCGGCGACTTAAAAATCAACAAATTAGAGATCTGCAACGTAACAATACACAACTCAAAGAATCGGCAACTCAGAGAATTGGTAACTTAACAATCAACAACGTAATAAATCAGCCAACACTTAGCCAGTAAATCGGTAACTTAATAAAAATTACATAAATATCACTTTCAAGTTTAGTTCTAGTCATTACATCTAAAAAAATTGTCATTACATCTTACAGAAAAAATCAAATACCATCTAGGAACTCAATCAAATACATTGTAGGCATGTAACAAGCTAATCGATCCAATTCATATGAACACAAAGATTCCACATACCATCATTGAACCTTACCTACACTTGACAACAAACATCAAACAAAAATCAACAGCCCTCTAACAGCCAAGTCAAGAATACTAAGTAGATCAAACTAACATAATCCCTAGAGTTTTCAATTATCTTGAACAAAGATTTAGACAACTTAAAGTCTTAACTAGCCTCAAGCCAAATAAATAAGAACAAATCTTAACAACTCTCAATCTCTTTACAAAAATAGTTTAATAAAAGAGAATAAAGCCCACAAATTTACTTTGTAAACTCTTGAAAAATGGAATTTAAAACTTTAACAACACAAGTATAACACTTTTGCTCACACTCAAAATTTTGAAGAGTGAGATTGAAAAAGAAAGTTGAAGGACTGTGGCCAAGGAGAATATATCTGGAAGACTACATAAGAGTTGCAAAAGATCAGAACAATTAATTAAGGTTGAAAGTAATTGTGACAGTGGGTTAAAAACACAAAGTGGAGAATGAGAGAGGGGTGTTCAAGTTTAAAGAGTGACACATGGCTAAATTTGGATGATAGAATCAAAGATATATTGGTAAGTCACTAAGACATATTGTCTATCAATATATAAACTAGGGGTGATCAGTTCCCGGTCCCATCCAGGAATTGGAATGACCGATTTTTAGTTTCAGGGATTGTGGACCGAATCGGCTGGCCTTGGGACTGAGGACTGGATCGACCGATCCGGTCTAGTCTGATCCAATGGAACTTGTCACTTCACAATGTTTCCAGCAAGAAAAACTACAGATGTTAATTTAAGCTTCAGAAATTTTTTTTTTTTTGGTCCAACAGAAGATTTGTCAAGTTAGAACACCATTTTCATCCACAAGAATCCGGGACAAAAGATTTAAGGAAAAGAAAATTTTCAAACCAATGATCTACTTTAAGCATCCCCTAACTAAACCCAAATGACCAACACAATACACTAATCCATAGGCTTAGAAGGCGAGAGGGAAAGCTGCGTCGGTCCGATTCCCACCTTGGAACGGGGAACCAGACCAAGGCCCCCTGGAACTGCCCAGAACTGGCCGGTGCGGGCGGTTCCCAATTTGTTCGGTTCATCTTGTTCACCCCTAATATAAACAAGGAAATCAGTGTATGTTCTAAACACTGTTAACACTGAAAAATATTTTGAACTTACCAAAACATTCAGCAAAAGTTACCTATCGATTCACAAGTCAGTAAATTTTTAACTTGAAAATTATGCGATCCACACTACGGAGCATATCAATCTCCATCCACTATTACTAAAGGCGATATGTGATTCATCGCCACATTTCGGATCTTCCGCGTACTAAAACGTTAAGAGTCCAACTAGCATTTCCACTTGTGTCGTTTATCGTTTACATTTTCTACATATTATAAATTGATGTAGGAATTTCCGAATGTCACATACATACCCGTGCTCTCTCAACCGAGCTTTCCTACCACCCTCCCCTGTTGCTAGCCACCACCTCCGTGGTCTTGGGAAGCCTCGCCGGCACCACTTGTGAGGTCGTGACCCCATGGCAGACTTCATATCAAGGCACCCATGGGTGGCGGTGCCTCCATCTGCAAGATATAGAGACGATCGGAGAGGACAACGGAGCTACAGCCATGAAACTTAGTTTAGCCGGCTTCATGCTTTGTCAATTGGGATTTGGATGTGGGTGGGCGTAAGAACACGGGGAGGGTCCTTTGTGGAAGGTGAAATGGCACTAATCTTGTCAATAAATGCACAAATGCAATTTTTCCTGTAACTAAACGTTACGGGACGTACTTTGACTTTTTTCTTTACGTTATACCTAAAACTTTCAAAATATGCAAATATCAACACGTATATTTACACATAAGTTTTTCCATGATTTTTTTAAAATCTAAATAACATCTTTAATTTTTGTGGGAAAATAAAATGTTGCTAATTTAACTTTTATAAAAAAAACCCAAACTTATATATCTATCCGTGAGTGCTGCCCTCCTTCGTTGGCGTATGTGGTGGACCGTCCATTTTTTGCGACTGAGCATTAAGCAGCGAGTTGAATTGCAAGAATGATGGCAAGCGAGGGTCGTCTGATCCTTCCGCAACCCGTTGATTAAGTCGTATGCTGCATTTTTTGTGCATTTCTCTGAGCTCATTTGCAAAACGGTTTGAAGATATAATTTGGGCCTGCAAGGAATCGAACAAAAATAGATTGCGTCTTGAGTACCGGCGGGACCCCCATCATGTGCGAAAGTGTAATTTGAAATATGTTATGCACAACATGCAACTTGAGACGGGACATGTACTGATCGAATGTAACATGTACCGGACGAAACGAAAATCAAACACGTGACATGTAGCGAACGATATGCTGTAATGACGTGGCAAATTAAATACGACACGTAGCGAACAGTATGGAAACGTATATGAATGACACGTGAAATGACAATGCAACCGATACCGCGATCATTCCAACTCGTGCGGCACGCGCAAAGAAGGAAACGAATTAATCGGTCGAGGGCGGACGGCGCACCGCCGTGTAGCACCCTCCACGCCCCTCCGTTAGGGGCGGCGGAGGAGGGGGATGCTGTTTCTTCTTGAGCACCGTGAAAACTCCCGAAGCAAAACTGGGCCAAGGCCAGCTCGAATTTGACCGGACGCAGGCCCAATCCATTACAGTCCCGAGACCCAACGAAGGGGAAAACGATTTCAGAAGCAGCACCAGCAGCAGCAGCAGCAGCGGAAGAAGAGGAACGATGCTGGGTTTCGCTTGTGCGTCTCGCTTCCACCCTCCAATTCCACAAGTTCCGTCGCCTCCTCTCGCAACCGCCCGCCGCAATCTCGCCTTCCCATCTTCCCTTTTCAGAGCCCCAGTCTCCACCCACGAAAACCCATCAAGATTCGCCGTCTTCGCCGGCGACGGCGACGTTCGCAACCAAGAACCGGGGAGCGTGGAGCGGCGAGAGAACGGGCCCGATGGAGGAGCGGGGGGCGACGGCGGCGGCGACGGCGACGTGAAGAGCGAACGGCGGCGGCCGCCCGTGTTCAATCTGAGGCTGGGGGATCTGCTGGACCCGGACCCGGACAACATCCTGGCGGTGGGGCTGACGGGTCTGCTGGCGTGGGCGAGCGTGCAGGTGCTGTGGCAGCTCTGCTTCATCTCGGCCGCCATCCTGGTGGCCGCCCTCAAGTACTCCTTCATCGCCGCGCTGCTGCTTGTCATCCTCATCACCCTTCTGTGACCCGAGCGAGCGAGCGAGCAAAACTCAAGCGTCGTCCAAGGCAGAACTGTACATCATAAGTTCTCTTTGCTTGATCTCTTTGCTTGTGTTACGACAGGATCATTATGCAAATCTAGGTTTGGATGTTTGAGTCAATGGGGGGGGGTCAACGAAATTGGGCTGGCTTTTTGCCTTTGGATGACAGAGCGAAACTCTGTGCCATGGCTAACAGGTCTTCTTACCTCCACCGGTGATCAGAGATGCCTGTTTCGAATTGGCACTTGCCCGCAATCATTACGAGTGGTTTCGAAATCGAAATGGAAGTTCTTTTAACATCTCATTCGAAGGTCATGTAAGATATTCACAATGTCCACGGCAGAAATTCCATAGTCTTGCACGTAATTTCGAAGTACGAAATTTTATGGATCTTTACTCGAATCACAAGTTCGAGAGAAGATATCTTATTGCCGACCGATCTAAATCGAGATGCAGGGGGACGCATAGCACAGCACGCGGGTAGAGGTGTCAAAATGGGGCATGGACCCATTATTATTCGATTCACATTTTTAGGATGAGGATGTACATGGGTTGTTTGAACATTTAAAGGGCTGGGTTAAAATGGGTTTTAAAAAAAATTAAGTTCAATTGGATTATTGGGTCTTGATGGGTTTCTAGAGAACCATTTTTGGCCCATTGTAAATACCAAGCTTTCACACCCGAAATGAACATCACTAAAACATATAGCGCAAATCTCGTTGAGGAGATCTTATTTTGATGTCTTCCAATCCATTAAGAAACAAAGTAAAACAATTAGATATTGTATCTCTAATAATTACATTATGATCTGTAAGAAAATCCGCTGTAATAGTTGAATCTAAAAAAGACTGCTGCAAAAAAAAAAAATTCGCATAGAACTTAGTTTGATGGCTTCGGTTATTCTTTTTAACATTGATATTCCCAGAAATGGTCTCTTTAGCTAAATTAGATCCAATTTATAATACGAGGAGAATTAACAGAATATGAGTTCTAGTCTCTTGATTTGTTAAATTTTTTATTAATTCTTAAATGCTAATTCTTTTCATGTATAATTTTTTTTAATTGATTAGTGCTTTTTTCAGTATGTTATTTTTGCATATTCAATGGGGAAAGTTGCTGAGAATTGGAGCCCCGGTTAGGTCCGGATCAGGTCGGGTCATTAAAATTGTATTGCATAAGAATGGATCAACACGGTAAAATGGGTCAATTTGGGTCGGACCCATTTTCAACTACTCAAACCTAACCGAACCCATGTGTGGGCAATAGTGATATAACTTGTTCTATATGACACTTCACTTACTTTTTTTTTTCTACTAATCTCCCTGATAGAATATTTAAATGTTAAACCACGCATTCATTTAACAACTTAAGTTTTTAGAACAGTTGATATTGTTCTCCGAAATCTCTCATCCTATCAGGGCATGAGATCTTGAATTTGAATCTTTTCAAGTCCTTCGTTATATAAAGTCTTTTGTTGCACGGCATTACAATGACAAGGTCACTGTCAGGGGACAATAGACGCATTCAAATACCTATGATATGGATTGTTCTGTATGTCCCACACAAAGCTGGAGCAATGCATCAACCACTTCATCTAATTCTCCCTCTCCTTTCTTCCTAATACTGTCACTCATTTCTTTTGCCTTCTTCCTCACACTGTCTCCATCTTTCTCCACCACCACATCTTTGATCACCTTCTCTATCTCCAATCTCTCACGCTCTCCACTCCTATTTCTCTTCACCTCCAATCCGATACCAACCTCCTCGACCATCTGGGTGTTCAACGGCTGATTGAGTTGTATCGGCATTGAGATGATCGAGACCCTAGACTTCATGTTCTCCATGATGGAGCTCCATCCACAATGACTCACAAACCCACCAATGCTTGGATGTGCCAGAATCTTTCCTTGTGCTTGATGGGGTATATCCTAAATAAAATCAAAACAATCACACAGATAATAGAAAAATTGACACACAAATTTATCCAGGTTCACTCCAGAATAGGACTACGTCCTGCAAAAGGATTCCACTATGATATTTAGTTTTTCAACCACAGCCTTTCGTTACAATGATCTCTCATACGAGTACAATATATATAGGACTTAAAATGGGCTCAAAGCCCAAGCCTATCTGAATCTCTTTGATCCCACAACAAACGGTTCAGCAAACCCGTTGTTGTTTCGGGGGCGCTGCCCCCGTCTGCTCATCGGGGAGCAGAACCTCCTCCCGTTGTCCGGGCAGCGGGAGCCCCGACATTCCATGCGTAAAGGTCACATGTCGTCCATTCATACTTTGGTTTCCCTAAACTCACATGGGCTTGTTTGATATGAGAAACAAGGGTCCCCAAAGTATTTGCCAACTCCAACAGTGGTGCCCATCCATCTATCACCAATCCTCTATCTCTCACTCTTTCTAAGAACCCCTTAGGCAATGCCTCTTCAAGCTCAATGCTCTCTCCTACAGGAAACCTAATGACCCAAATGAAGTTGAGATTGCTAAGCTCCAATCCATGAGCAATCTCCTCTTTCGTTCTTAATGAGAAAATATTCAGAATCAAATGACACAAAAATAGTAGACGATTTCTCTCTCTTGTCAAGCCACTCAATGATGCTATTATCTCCATCTTCCATGTTGCTAGGGTCTTCCACAGGTGGACCAACAGTTACCACTTTTTTCCCCATGAGACTTGAGAGATAATCCATGCACTTCCCATCCAGCTCTCTAAAGGTCTTCAATAAGATCAAGTTGGAGGACCTCTCAACACTTTGTAGAACACTATCTTTGTCCTTCACGCGGGCCGCAGAATCATCTGCCACCTTAATGATTTTTGCCAATTTGTAATCATGAAGATAAATTGCTTCAAACGGGAACTTACTGCCGGTGTTCTTGACCATATGGAACATAAAAGATGGCATCCCCGCACCAACACTGAAGAAGACGACCGATGGCAAGCCATGAGATTTTGCCGCTTCCGCCGCCCACGGTTGAAGAAATTCATGGATGAGCAAATCAGGGACCAGGCTCTTGACGGGAAAATTGTCAAATCAGTCCTAAACCTATTGTACGGCGGCCAATTCAGTCCTAAACCTTTTAAGTTTGCCAATTAAGTCCTAAACCTTTTAAATTTTTGCCAATTGAGTCCTTCCGGCCAATTTTGGCCGGCCGGCGCTGACATGGCCGCTGGCCGGCGCCGACCGTCCGATCGACGCCGACGTGACAATTTTTAATTATTTTTTTCCAAATTTTTAATCTTTTTTTTCTTTTTTTTTCTGCTTTCTTCCCTCTAGCTGGTCCGGCGGCCGGCCAGAGGGTAGGGCCGACAAGGTCGACCTTGCCGGCCTCTGGCAAAGCTCGCCTCGCCGGCCCCTGGCTGGGCGAGGCGAGGTCGGCCGCGCCTCGCCGTCGCAACCCAGGCGACGGCGAGGCTCGACCTCGCGGTCGCCTAGGTCGCGACAACGAGGCTCGACCTCGCCACGCCGTCGCCTGGGTCACGACGGCGAGGCGAGGTCGGCCTCGCCTCGCCAGATCTGGGTGAGGCGAGGTCGGCCTCGCCTCGCCCAACCAGGGGCCGGCGAGGCTCGCCCTCGCCGGTGGCCGACGGGGCGAGCTTCGCTAGAGGCCGGCGAGGTCGACCTCGCCGGCCCTTCCCTCTGGCCGGCCGCCGGTCGCCGGACCGGCCAGAGGGAAGAAAGCAGAAAAAAAAAAGAAAAAAAAAGATTAAAAAATTGGAAAAAAATAATTAAAAATTGCCACGTCAGCGTCGACCGGACGGGCGGCGGCCACGTCAGCGCTGGCAAGCCAAAATTGGCCGGAAGGACTCAATTGGCAAGAATTTAAAAGGTTTAGGACTGAATTGGCAAACTTAAAAGGTTTAAGACTGAATTGGCCGCCGTACAATAGGTTTAGGACTGATTTGACAATTTTCCCGGCTCTTGACGATATCACAGAAGCCGGGGCTCGGCATGTCGGAAGCCACTTTCAGGGTGTTCATAAGTTGAGAAGGCAAGCCTTTGGCTGTGTGGTAATGCGGAGGAAGGTCAGGCAGAGATGGGAGGTGAAGCTCGACAAGTTCAATGGAGGATGAATTTTTCTCGGAAATCTTGGGTTTGATGGAGCTAAGGTTGACAGGAGCGGAACACAAGTAAATGTCGAAGTTTCTCGTGGAAAGCCTTTTTTCTAGCTCTAGAAATGGTGATATGTGGCCATGAGCAAGCCATGGCAACATCAGAACTTTGATGGGTCTCTGCATATTGTCCATCTTGATCTCAAGTCTCTCTCTTGTTTCTTCTCTCTTAGCTATCCATCTCTAATGAGTATATATAGCAATGGAGAGAAAACACAAGAAACCACATGATAGAGAATTTGAGTGATCTTGAGAAGCCAGCGCAGGGTGAAGAGGAGAAACCTTGAGCTGCGACATAGATTTAGAATGTGTGCCGTCGGCTTCAAGTTCTGCCCCTGTTATCTAGAAGGTGTGGTTATACGTTTTAAGGGAAAAGCCTAGTTGAAGTTGGACTCCAAATTTGCATTTTTGGATTTGTCATCATGGATGACGCATATATGACCGAGGCCACAGCTGTGTTTTTGGAAAAATGTTTTGGCAGAATAAACGAATTTCTGATACAAAAGAGTACTCGGACTCGATAAAATTTTACAGAGCGAAATTCATATTTAATAAGTCATGGCTGATTCAAAACTGGCACGACTTAGCAAGTTCTCATTAGCTTAAATATATATTTTCAACCTTCTAAAATATTTTGGTCGTCGTACAAATCATAACACGAAAATATGACGGAATTGGAATAATAGAGCTTCATTACCTATTGGTTCAGTAATAGTAAAACAGTATGCTAGGAGAAGCGCAATAAAATTCTTATACTAACGAAAGAAAGAAATTTAACAAGGAGCTTAAAATATTCTGAACTATTGATGAGATTACCAATGGATTAAGACAAGTGAAACTGCTACGGGACCAACTTAGGAGAGAAACAATACAATGTGACCTCATGCGTCACCAACTTCAATTAGCTTTGTGATAGTTCATGAACCCCGTTTGGTTCAGCTTTGAGAATGGGCTTTCGACCTCGCAAGCGCCTTCCCAAAATGCTGAACCATTTGGTTCAGCATTCGGCCTAGCATTGGCCAAATGCTAGCATTTGTGGAATGCTGAACCCAAATTTTTTGTCTCCAAACTACCCTAACTTATTTTGGCTTATTTCGGTTTTGCCCCTCTTGGTACTGCTCATCTTCTTCGTGAGGTGGCCGGCGAGGGCGGCCGACACCGGATCGGACCAGCGAGAGGCC